GCTTACATTCTATAGAGAATATATGGAGTAATGGAGGATAGTTTGGGGTTCAGTAATGGACAGTTTGGGGTTCAGTAACGAGGATAGATTGGGGTTCAATAATGGAGGATAGTTTTTAAAGGTTCAGTAATGGACAGTTTTGGGTTCAGTAATGGAGGGCAGTTTGGGGTTCAGTAATGGAGGATAGTTTGGGGTTTAGTGATGGATGGTTTGGGGTTCAGTAATGGAGGACAGTTTGGGGTTCAGTAATGTATAGTTTGAGGTTCAGTCATGGAGGACAGTTTGGGGTTCAGTAATGGAGGACAGTTTGGGGTTCAGTAATGGAGGATAATTTGGGGTTCAGTAATGGATAGTTTGGGGTTCAGTAATGGATAGTTTGGGATTCAGTAATGGACAGTTTGGGGTTCAGTAATGGATAGTTTGGGGTTCAGTAATGGAGGATAATTTGGGGTTCAGTAATGAAGGAAAATTTGGGGTTCAGTAATGGACAGTTTGGGGTTCAATAATTGAGGGTAGTTTGGGGTGCAGTAAGGGAGGATAGATTGGGGTCAGTAATAAATAGTTTGGGGTTCTGTAATGGATGATAGATTGGGGTTCAGTAATGGATAGTTTGGGGTTCAGTAATGGACAGTTTGGGGTTCAATAATTGAGGATAGTTTGGGGTTCAGTAATGGATAGTTTGGGGTTCAATAATTGAGGATAGTTTGGGGTTTAGTAACGGAGGATAGTTTGGGGTTCAGTAATGCAGGATAGCTTGGGGTTCAGTAATGGACAGTTTGGGGTTCAGTAACGGAGGATAGTTTGGGGTTCAGTAACGGAGGATAGTTTGGGGTTCACTAATGACAGTTTGGGGTTTAGTAATGGAGGATAGTTTGGGGTTCAGTAATGGACAGTTTGGGGTTTAGTAATGAAGGAAAATTTGGGGTTCAGTAATGGACAGTTTGGGGTTCAATAATTGAGGATAGTTTGGGGTGCAGTAAGGGAGGATAGATTGGGGTCAGTAATAAATAGTTTGGGGTTCAGTAATGGATGATTGGGGTTCAGTAATGGATAGTTTGGGGTTCAGTAATGGATAGTTTGGGGTTCAGTAATGGAGGATAATTTGGGGTTCAGTAATGGACAGTTTGGGGTTCAATAATTGAGGATAGTTTGGGGTGCAGTAACGGAGGATAGATTGGGGTTCAGTAAGGGAGGATAGATTGGGGTCAGTAATAAATAGTTTGGGGTTCAGTAATGGAAGATAGATTGGGGTTCAGTAATGGATAGTTTGGGGTTCAGTAATGGAGGACAGTTTGGGGTTCAATAATTGAGGATAGTTTGGGGTTCAGTCATGGAGGACAGTTTGGGGTTCAGTAATGGAGGACAGTTTGGGGTTCAGTAATGGAGGATAATTTGGGGTTCAGTAATGGACAGTTTGGGGTTCAATAATTGAGGGTAGTTTGGGGTGCAGTAAGGGAGGATAGATTGGGGTGCAGTAAGGGAGGATAGATTGGGGTCAGTAATAAATAGTTTGGGGTTCTGTAATGGATAGTTTGGGGTTCAGTAATGGACAGTTTGGGGTTCAATAATTGAGGATAGTTTGGGGTTCAGTAATGGATAGTTTGGGGTTCAGTAACGGAGGATAGTTTGGGGTTCAGTAACGGAGGATAGTTTGGGGTTCAGTAATGCAGGATAGTTTGGGGTTCAGTAATGCAGGATAGCTTGGGGTTCAGTAATGGACAGTTTGGGGTTCAGTAACGGAGGATAGTTTGGGGTTCAGTAACGGAGGATAGTTTGGGGTTCACTAATGACAGTTTGGGGTTTAGTAATGGAGGATAGTTTGGGGTTCAGTAATTGACAGTTTGGGGTTTAGTAATGAAGGAAAATTTGGGGTTCAGTAATGGACAGTTTGGGTTTCAATAATTGAGGATAGTTTGGGGTGCAGTAAGGGAGGATAGATTGGGTCAGTAATAAATAGTTTGGGGTTCAGTAATGGATAGTTTGGGGTTCAGTAATGGATAGTTTGGGGTTCAGTAATGGAGGATAATTTGGGGTTCAGTAATGGATAGTTTGGGGTTCAGTAACGGAGGATAGTTTGGGGTTCAGTAATGCAGGATAGTTTGGAGTTCAGACAAGGAGGATAGTTTGGGGTTCAGTAATGGACAGTTTGGGGTTCAGTAACGGAGAATAGTTTGGGGTTCAGTAATGGATAGTTTGGGGTTCAGTAATGGACAGTTTGGGGTTCAGTAACGGAGGATAGTTTGGGGTTCAGTAATGGACAGTTTGGGGTTCAGTAACGGAGGATAGTTTGGGGTTCAGTAATGGACAGTTTGGGGTTCAATAATTGAGGATAGTTTGGGGTGCAGTAAGGGAGGATAGATTGGGGTCAGTAACAAATAGTTTGGGGTTCAGTAATGGATGATTGGGGTTCAGTAATGGACAGTTTGGGGTTCAATAATTGAGGATAGTTTGGGGTTCAGTAATGGATAGTTTGGGGTTCAGTAACGGAGGATAGTTTGGGGTTCAGTAATGGAGGATAGTTTGGGGTTCAGTAACGGAGGATAGTTTGTGGTTCAGTAATGGATAGTTTGGGATTCAGTAATGGAGGATAATTTGGGGTTCAGTAACGGAGGATAGTTTGTGGTTCAGTAATGGATAGTTTGGGATTCAGTAATGGAGGATAATTTGGGGTTCAGTAATGAAGGAAAATTTGGGGTTCAGTAATGGACAGTTTGGGGTTCAATAATTGAGGATAGTTTGGGGTGCAGTAAGGGAGGATAGTTTGGAGTGCAGTAAGGGAGGATAGATTGGGGTCAGTAATAAATAGTTTGGGGTTCTGTAATGGATGATAGATTGGGGTTCAGTAATGGAGGAAAGTTTGGGGTTCAGTAATGAATAGTTTGGGGTTCAGTAATGGAAAATCATTTGGGGTTCAGTAATGGACAGTTTGGGGTTTAGTAATTGATAGTTTGGGGTTCAGTAAAAGGCATGTTTGGGGTTCAGTAATGGAGGATAGTTTGGGGTTCAGAAAAGGAGGATAGTTTGGGGTTCAGTAATGAAGGAAAATTTGGGGTTCAGTAATGGACAGTTTGGGGTTCAATAATTGAGGATAGTTTGGGGTGCAGTAAGGGAGGATAGTTTGGGGTGCAGTAAGGGAGGATAGATTGGGGTCAGTAATAAATAGTTTGGGGTTCAGTAATGGATGATAGGGGTTCAGTAATGGACAGTTTGGGGTTCAGTAATGGATAGTTTGGGGTTCAGTAATGGAGGATAATTTGGGGTTCAGTAATGGACAGTTTGGGGTTCAATAATTGAGGATAGTTTGGGGTTCAGTAACGGATAGTTTGGGGTTCAGTAACGGAGGATAGTTTGGGGTTCAGTAATGCAGGATAGTTTGGAGTTCAGACAAGGAGGATAGTTTGGGGTTCAGTAATGGACAGTTTGGGGTTCAGTAACGGAGGATAGTTTGGGGTTCAGTAATGGATAGTTTGGGGTTCAGTAATGGACAGTTTGGGGTTCAGTAACGGAGGATAGTTTGGGGTTCAGTAATGGACAGTTTGGGGTTCAGTAACGGAGGATAGTTTGGGGTTCAGTAATGGACAGTTTGGGTTTCAGTAACGGAGGATAGTTTGGGGTTCAGTAATGGATAGTTTGGGGTTCAGTAACGGAGGATAATTTGGGGTTCAGTAACAAGGATAGTTTGGGGTTCAGTAA